TTTTTTTTTTTTTTTTTTTTCAGTGCAGTGAACAGCCTCCTACCATCTTCCCTCCTCCAACTCTTTTTTGTATCTCTTCTAGAATTACTATGGTCATAGCCAATGTTCCTTGGGGATTTATTTGCCTGCATCTTCTGTTTGTTTTGGAGTAATAGTTCCTTGCTTTTATCTGGCCCTAGACCATTCACATGCGTTTTCTTGTTAGAGCCTCATAACCTTGTAAGACCATTATCATCATTATCACATTAATGCTGAGACAGGACTCAGGGACTGGTACAACCTACCCCAGGCACACGTGTCGCCAGTCTGAGCTCTGAACTGAAACCTGACTCCAATAAAGGCTTTGTCTCTCTTTTTGAGCGATCTTTCTCTACTGGGGATCTTACAAGTCACCCAGGACAGCTCTACTGTTGACCTACATCCCTAGCAACTTCCTGTATTTTCTGTTCTTGGGGGGGCAACGAACTTGGGACCTTGTGCTTGCAAGGCAGGCATGGTGTCAGAGCTAAATGCCTGGGCCCCTTTCTGTATTTTTGAGACAATGTGTCACTCAGTTGCTCAGGCTGACACTGAAGCCATGATCCTCCTGCCTTATCTTCCCAAGTAGCTGGGATAGGTGTATGCCACCACTCTCAGCTCAGGCTTATCTCTTGAAATTCTGGCTGGAAGATGGGAGATGGCCTTCAACACATAGTGATTTTTCTTTTTTTGGAGGGGGGTGGGTATCAGGAATCGAACTCAGGACCCTGTGCTTGCCAGGCAGGTGCAGTGCCACTGTGCTACATCCCTGGCCTGGGGTGATTTTTCTCAGCCCCAGAATCTAGAAAAGTTCCCCTTGAGATTGAAAAGAGAAAGGAGTCCAAAATGAAGGAGACATATGCATAAGGGTGTCATGATGCTATAAGATTGTGGCTAGAATTTTTTTCTTTTGGTACTGGGATCAAGCTCAGGACCTTGCACTTGCCAGGCAGGCACAGTGCCACTGAGGTACATTCCCCAGCCCTGAGGTAGGAATTTGAGGTAATCAGGTCACCATGCCAGATTTTTGGTAAAGCACAACCTAAACAGTGGGTCTGTGGCCCAGACTTTTTCCCTTGTGGTAAATAGCTGAGTGATCCCTCATACAGACCATGGGCCTTACTTTTAGCAAAGTCCTAGGTCTATGAATTTTCAACCTATTGCACTCACCTACCACCTCAGCTCCTCTTGTCCAGGAGGGTGACAAGTGGGAGGCGTGGGGAGTGGAGCGAAAGGGACTACTCTCCTAGAATCATCTGAGGAAGAGGGCACCAGGTCAGCAGTAGTGGTTTCCGGAGCTTGCCTGTGGTCCAATGCTAAGCCTAGCTCTCTAGTGATGACCTCTGAAGAGGCATCTTTGGAGGTTCAAGTATGGCCAACCTCTTACCATATCTGCATCTCTCTAAGGACATCATCTGACAATGAAGTCTTGGAGGGAGGCCCCAGGTCAGCAATCTGTCCACTGCCTTGGGACACTAGTCCCAGACCCTTTTTGGTTCTCTTGTCTTCTATGGCAAGCTCAGGCACCTCCCAATCTTCCTGGCTAAAGTCTTCTTCCCTGATCTCTCTCCTCAGTGAGTCGCTTCACATTGCCCTGTTAATTTCCATCACCAACAACTGCCCAATCTGGCGGCTTTATTATTTGTTTTAAACACACCGAATGGACTTGTTGATGTCCAGCATACCTGGACATAGGCACACAGGGCACCATCACTGTTTACCTTTAGAATTGTGCCTTGTCTGTCACAGGGAGCTGACAAACCAGTCCAGTGAATAGTTGAAGAAGCAAAATTTCTTTTCAGTGTGTGTTCCACAGATGTGGTGAGCACCCTGCCCCAATCAGGTTCCCAAGAATCAAGTCAGGGAACCAGAACTCAGGCTTTATTGAGGTGCATGTCCATGCCCGAGGCCCAGCTCCCCAGCCTTCTGAGAGGAGGAGCCCTCTGGTGTCCCCAGACCTTCACATTCTAGGCAGTCAATGTTGAGGTCTCTGTCCCCCCCAACTATTGGTGTGGTGCTGATGTTCTGGAGCCAAGGGGCAGGATAAGAGGCTCTGTGAGGCCCTAAGTTTCCACCACCTGATTCTCTGTGCATCAAACTTTCAGAGGTGGAGGGCAGCACCATGAGGCTGAAGAGGAAAATCCAGTTCCTTCCTGTCCCGACAAAGCAGGGAATAACATTAAATATAAATAATTTATATAAAATGGCTTGTACAAAAAGCTGTGGGGAAGGGGGAGGAGATGCCCGTGAGAGCTGAGATGACCAGAAGGAGCGGAAAAGGGGAGACATCCTCTTCCTAAAACAGATTGCTCGGCCATCCAAGACTTGGAGGGGTAGCTCTGGAAGGCAGAAAAGGGAAGGTTGTGCCAGTGCAGGCTCAGCGGGCCAGACTGGTGAGCAGAGTGGTGAATCGCAGGGCCTGCCCTGATAGTTCTGCCACACATCGTGCCATCTCCTGGGCTGCAGGGCCAGATGGATAGCCCAGGGCTGCCCCCTTGACAGCCAGCACTGTAGCCTGCAAGGCTTGGCCCAGTGCTGCACCTGCAGCCCCAACCTGTGCTCGCAGAGGAGCAGAGGCTGCCAGCCGGCCCAGGGTGTCCCCAACGAACACCAGGCGGTGAGCAGTCACCACCACCCGCTTGCCATGGGGCACGAAGAGGCGTGGGGGCTGGTTGGCCTGGGTGCTGGACATGAGGGTCGCCACGGCCGCCTGTAGTGCTGAGTAGTGGCTCTGGCACTGCCCTGCATAGAAGTGCAAGAGCTGTTGGTCTTCAGGGGACAGAACCAGCAGCTCCCCTGGGGAAAAGGCTTCCTGAGGAACAAGAGGAGGTAGTGGGAACATGCTCGTCAGTGCCTCTCCCTCCCTCCAGCCCTCTTTCCTTTATTGGTGAGGGCAAACCCTTCAGCCCACCAGAAAGTCTACATTCTTGAACGGCAGTACGGTGCCCAGAGTTGATGTCAGATAGATCTGGATTCAAATAATATCACACTTGATTTCAGATAAATCTCTGAAATTCTTTGGTTCCTTATCTCAAAAAACATGGAGTCTAGGCCTAGGCTACAGGGTATGGTAGAGCACTTGCTTAGCACACCTGAGGCCCCATGTTCAATCTCCAGCGTGGTGACAGACATACCAAATGACAAAATGGGGACTCTAACACTGCACTGTCCAATAAAAACAATGCAAACTACTTGTGAAATTTAAAAAATTTTAGTAGCCACATTAAATAAAACAAACTAATATTATATATTTTGCTTAACTCTATAAAAGCTGGTAATTTCTACATGTAATCAGTATGAATTTTCATATTTAGTCTACAAAATCTGATGTGCATTTTATATTTAGAGCACATTTCAATTCAGACCAGCCACATCTCGAGGGCTCCGTAGTTACAGGTGGCAACTCTACAGGAAAATGCAATTTTTTGTTTTTTTGAGACAGGGTGTCACTATGCAGTCCAGGCTGGCCTTGACCTTACTATGAAGCCCAGAGGCTGGCCTCAAACTCGAGGTGATCCACCTGCCTCAGCCTCCTGAGTGTGGGATTACAGACGTGCGTCCCACACTGGACCAGGACAGTGCAGTTCTAGTAAGGCCTCAGGAGGCTCAGTGAACACTGAGATGACACAGGGAGAGGGGCTTGGCACAGTGCGCTGCATGTGGTTAAGAGCCCTGTGGCATCCACGGCGATTGTGCTTGATGTTGATGCATGCCGTATGCCTAGCACAGGCCTAGCAGTTGGTACATTCTTGGTGAAAGGTAGCTACTGGGTTATTTCATCCCATGTTGGGTCAGGAAACTACCTCACTTTCCTGAGGCCCAGAGAGATTAATTGCTTGCTTGGAACTGGTGGCGTCATAGTTGTGGATCTGGGATTAGGAGACAGGTTTCTTAGGAACCCAGGAATTCACAATTGGAAGGAGCCTTAGAATTCAGTTGAAAGGAGGCTTAGAAGTCACTCGGCACAGCTGTGACCTACAGCCCAGAAGCTTTGCTCCTGGGGCTGATGATTTCCTGACTCTCCTCCAACACATTCTTTCCTCCCTTTCTAAGTTCCTAATATCCTTTTCCAGTTCCAGTGCCCTCCAGTTGCATTCTCACTCCTCTCCCTGCTTCATGTGAATTCTTAACCTTATCCTAACCTGTTTCTCTCAAGGTCTGGCTAAGAATACGCCTTCCCCAGCCCCCTTCTGGCACCCTCCCCACCAGGCTTACCTGCTGCTCCGGCAACCCCCTCTCTGGCACCTCAGGATCCTCTGGAAAGGCTTTATCCGGAGGCCTAGATTCCTGAGCTTTATCCATACCCTACAGAGGGGATCAGGTCTCAGTGCAGGGGTCAGGGTGGGTAGCCTCACGGCCTTTTTGTCCCTCCCCTGTACCCTTTCCTTCATGAGGGTGCCACCAGGAATGCAGTCCCTAGACTATAGGTGTAAGACAGCTCTGGTGGCTTTGTGGTGGGTTTAGGGGACAGTGTGGCACTAATACAAGTGATGTGGCCGAGGGTTCCAGGCTGCAGGGTGGAGGGGGAAGAGGAAGGCAGAAAGGCTTTGGGCCGCTGAGATCTTCCCCTTGCTTCTCCTGGGCCATTCCTAGCAGGGCCCTGGTGAGGCTGCCAGGGAGGAGGAGCTCACCTTCAGGTGGACGTAGTCATACTCCTCGGCCATTGGGATGCCTTCATACTCATTGTGGGGTCCTGCTGGATCATCCTCTACCTCTCTGCCCTCTGCATTCCCCTCTACCTTGAGGCCCGCATAGCCAGGAAGGCGGGGTGGGGGTGGGGGTAGAGGTCGGTCCTGGATACTGCCCTTGCGGCCTGGGGCAGGAGAGGGAGCTGGAGAAGGGATGGGAGCCTCAGGGACAGGCAAGGCAGGCAGAGGGCGCCGAGACAGGCTTTCAGCAGAGGGCAGCCTAGGCCTGTGTTGGGGTGGGGGGCTCCTGGGCAGAAGCCCAGCCATGGTATCCAGGTCATTGGAGGCTGAGGCTCCTGGGGGTTCTGGAGAAGGGGGTGCCTCAGGCCCCAGCAGAGGCACATCGTAGATGCCCTCATCAGTGTCCCCACCCTCTCCATTTGTAAGTTCTTCAGGTGCTTCATACAGGTTGAGGAGGGCTGATGCCCGTTTCAGGTTGGAGGGGGCAGCATAGAGGGGTGGCCCTGGTTCCCGGCCCCCTTCCCACTCCAGATCTGGCTCCAGCTCTGTGGGAAGCTTTGGGGCCAAAGGCACATCGTAGGTAGCATCATCCTCTCCAGGAGGCTGAGGGGCAACTGGAGCCAAAGGGCGGGTAAAAGAGGCTGGGGAGTCATAGGGGTCATCAGAGGGAGTCCAGAGGGCAGTGGAGGGCACATCATAGACCTAGAGAGAGATTGGTGAGTTACCCATAGCTTAGCGGTGTACCCTCCTCACCCAACCTCCACACCCAACATCGGCTAGCCCTCACCTCCAGGGCATCTCCATTGCCTCTAGGGACCTTGTAGATGGGGTCAGGGGATGGTGGGCAGGATGCAGACAAAGGTCCTGTGGCAGGACAGGGCCGTGCTGGGGGTGGTACCACATATACCTAGAGGGTTAAGACAGGTGGGTGGGCCAGTGAAACAGACAATGACAGACTTGAAGGAGCTCAGAGATCTTCCACCCTGTGCTGACAGGGACAGAGCTGCGAAGGGGTTGGTAGACAGGCTTCTGTCAGCAGAGCAGAATGAGTCAAAAACCAGTCCCCTGCCTGCCTTGGGAGTGGGGAGAGGCCAGCACTCACCTCTTGCTCCTCATTGTCACACTCTGGGGCCAGGTATGGTGAGCCTGACTGGGTAGAGGGTGCCAGGGAGAGGCTGGGTTTGGGTGCTGGGCCAGCCGGGAGGAGCTTCACTCTGTTGGCTGGCACAATGCCCTGCTGGCCATGCAGGGAGCAGAGGCACCAGCCATCCAGTCCACCAGCGCCCTCCCTCTGCAGAACCCGTAGAACATCCCCTCGCCGGAAGGACAGCTCCTGCGGGGACTCAGCCGTGTTGTCGTACAGTGCCCGGGCCAGTTGGGCCTGGTGGGTCAGGGAGAAGTGAAGGTAAGGGTCTTCACACATGCAGCTGTCTTGTCAAGCTACCCATTCCCTTCAAGCTGAAAACCTCACTCCTGACTTGACTGCTCCTTTGGGCCCTGTCTTTATCTCCTGTGCTCTCCTTTCCATTCTTGGAACGCATTCTTTCTGGCTTCAGGGCCTTTCTAGGTGCTCTTTTCCCTACTCACAGTGCTCCTCTCCTGATTCTATCTGACCAGCCTCTTTTTATCTTTCTTCTGCTTAAATATCTCCTCCTCAGTGAGGCCTTTTCCTCATTCTTTTTCCCACCTCATTCTCCATGTCTGTCTTACTCATTGTCCCTTTTGTAATACCTTATATTATTATCATCATCATCAATTTTTTCCCATGCACTTTAAGCCCTATTAAAACACGGACGGCTGTATTCCTAGCCCCTGCAAAAGGAGCAACAGGGTCTCACCTAGAACTGATCCTCATACACATTTGTTGAATTAACTTCTCCCAAAATACATGAGGGGTGGCTAAGACCTTACATAGACTCTCCTCTCCTTCCCTGTTTCCCAGTTACTACCCTTCATAAGCAAAAGGTTAGATGAAGCAGCTGGATTCCAAGGAAACAAGCCTTGTCCCGAGCACCTAGGCACAGTAAGAAAGAAAACAGAAACTAGAGCAATTGTTTGATTCTCAGCCTGAGCAAAAAAAGTTCTACCAAGAGAGGGTGAGGTTCCATGGAAAAAAGTATATGGTCTATTGCAGCAGTGGCAAACTTATAGCATGTGTGCTGCAGTGGGTTGTTTGTTATCATTAAGAGCTCTAAAAGGTTCACCATCACTGCTCTTGTGTATGTGTATGGAGAGGGGCTGGCAGACCGATGAAAAACAAATATTATCATCCTGTTCCCACTATCTGGTGGGGGCACACACCTAGAGGGCCATGTGCACAGGTAACAAGTCACAGATGCCAAGTGCATCAAAATGATGTTTCCAGACACCGTGCAAACTTTTGCATTTGCATTATCTCTAATTCTCACAGCCTTATAAGGAGGGAACCACTGTTCTCTTCATTTTGGAAAGGAAACTGGGACAGAGGTTAGTGCTTTGCCCAATGACATAAAGTTGGTCCAGCTGGTAGATTTGAACCTTAGACTGTGTGGCTTACACAGCAGTGTGAGAGCAACTATCCAGGCACTGCTGTGCAGGTAACCATGTGGACTAATTCAGTAAAATATCTCAAGCTAAAGACTTCAGGCAGGCTACCAGCAACCTGTGGGGAGAAGGTTGTCCTACTCAGTCAGTAGGACAGCGTATATGGTGACTTGGACAGTTCTTTCTGCTGGTAGATAGGTTTTAACAAGAAATAGACTCCTTGCCACATTCCAAAGTCATCAAACTACTTTCTGATTATATTGTGGTTTCTAAAGGATATTTTTAGAAAGGATAGAAGGATAGAAAATACGTTAACCAGATAGCACAACTTGTTGGTTGGCTTTGCACTTTCCTTCCTAGAACATTAGTGTTTTGGATCTATCTAAGGAACTAAAATCAAAGTACTAGAAGGAGATAGTCCTGGGACTGAGTCCTTGTTTTGTTCCTTTTTCATTGGGTGTTTTTGGGCAAGTTGTTTGAAATCCCCTGAGCCTCAATTTATGTCTTTGTAGAAATTCATAGCTGTATCCAAATGTGTTTTTGGATAAGAGTAGTAGCCTCACAATATTGTCATGAAGGTTTATGAGATAATGCATCAAAAAAAATCATGACGAAGGGGCTGGGGATGTAGCTCAGTAGCACAGTGCATGTCTGGCAAGCACGAGGCCATGACTTAGATTGTGGCACCAAAAGAAGATTAGCATAGGGTCAGGTGCAGTAAGTGTGAAATAAAATTAGAATCACCTGAATTAGGATCCTGTGAATTTGGTTAGCATAAATATTACTCCCCCCACCAAAGAAAACTCTGCCTCCCAGAACTACAAAGCGGACAGCTGACTGGCGGGCTCTGGAGCCAGCAGTGCTGTCAGATTACCCCCAGAAGCACTCTACTTAAAGAGAACCTACCCTTTGCCCACTGAGGTGGGGGCTTCTAGCTACCATGCATCTGAGGAGCTACAGGGAGTGTGGTCTTAGAGCAAAAATCGAATGCTCCTCAAAGGGAAGGGGAGTTGGGTGGCTCCCTGCCTCTGTTCACCTTCACAGTTCTCCTTTCCAGAGTCCTGGGGTCAGGCAGAAAGTAAGTCAGGAATCCCATCCTAGGCCAGGGTTAAGGAAAGGTGGAAAGGCATAGAGTTGCCTGAATTCAGAACACAGTGCAGGACAGGGAGCGGAGGTGGGGCTGCTGAGGGCTCCTCCCAGTGTTAGGTTTGAATTTTGGCCAGTGGGGCCAAACTTCCAGGCCTCAAAGTTGCAGGACCCAGGCCTGAGCTGCTGAGGAAACGACTGACGTGGGTGCGGCCACCCCTGCTCTATTCCCCTCCAGGGCCCCAGCTAACTTGTGAGGGAATGGCTGGCTGGCTTATTGGGGGTGGAAGAGACCGCTGCGCTCTCTGGGAGGCCTCCTCCCACTGTCCAAACGTGCCAGCTGTCTCTTCTCTTTGTCCCCAGTCCCTGGAAAGTGGCCTGAGGCAGGCTGACATCACCTCCCCTCCTACAGTCTTTCTCCCACCCGAACACCGTCCTTTGCTCTATCTGCCCCTTTCCTCCATTCCCTTCTAGAGATGGGCCTCCTTTTGGGTCCCTTGGCCTCCCATTTTTCATGGGCCGCTGGTTCCTCCGATCCTCCAGATGTAAGCCCCTGCCAGCCATCAGCCGCCATGTGTTCCCGCCCAGAAAAGAGCAGATAGGACTGGGGCTACACTTGCCCCCTCCCCTCCATTCAGCCGCAGCCTCTAGGAAGAAAGAGAGTGGGGAGGGGGAGGGGCGAGTCCAGAACCAGAGGGAGCCGGCGATGGGGAGTGAGAAGCAGAAAGAAGACAAAAGTGAGAGGAGGCCGCAGCCTCTAGGAAAGAAAGGGATCACGGACGGAGGCAGCGAGAAGGCAGAAATAAAAGCGACAGGAGCGCGGGGCAGGCTGGGGAGGCCCGTGCCCGGGGGCCTCATATCCCCAGTGGACTCACCGACGTGGCAATGGCCATGACCTCGGCCTCCAGCACCGCCTGCTTCAGGCCAGGCTCAGGCTCGCTGTCTTCAGCTGTGGTTGCCTTGCACCATGGTTCGCGGCCTGCTGGCGAGGAGGCCGCCCCCGGCTGTGGCGCTTGAGCAGGGGTCTCCGCCAAGGTCGGAGGAGAAAGAAAACCCACAAAACTTCCCAAATGGGAGGCAGCTTGGCTAGGCAGGAGGAGGAGCGGGGCGGGCTGGGCGTCGCTGCGGGATCTTATCCAAGAGGCGAGCTCTGCGCGGTCTCCACGGCCTGGCAGGACCCGGAGCCGCCTGTCCTTTTCTGCAGAGGCCTCCCGGGCCCCGTGGGCAGAAAGTGCCCTTCCGCGGCCGGCGACGC